GTAAATCTTTACGGGAGTAGAAAGCCTCATCTTTCTCCCGCGGAGCAGTTGGTAGTTTCGAACTGCTGACCTTAAGGTTCGCAGCCCGAGTCGTAACCACTACGCTACCAGAGCTCCTTAGTGGCAGGACTAGGAAGTATCAAAAGCCTTGCTTTCTATTACCCCCTCTGTAGAAAGCCTGGGAAGTTCACAAGAACAGAAAAAGCCCAGAGGTCAAACAATCTGGCCTTGACCTGGGAGGGTCTTCCTTCCTTTCCATTGAGAAGGACTCTTTGTGACTGAATCAGTGCCTTCTCTAGAACCCTTATGGCTGACAGAGGGCAGAGAAAAGTGTGCAGAATTCATGACTGGTTCAGGTGTGGTACTGTCGCATAAGCACTGGACTGCTAACCACAAGGTGGCTGTTCAAACTGACCAACCTCTCCTTGGGAACCCTAGGCAGGGTCACTATGAGTCTGAACCGACTCAATGGCACACAACAAAAACTCTGATCACATTCTCCTAAAATTCAATTTTGTAATTATACCCCAACTTCAAGCTACTTTTGATTAGCTGTAACATTTCTGGATGTGAAATAGAGAAGGAACATCAAGCCAGATAAAGCCATCTAGCTAGAATGTGGGTTATCATGAGTTTGATGAAACGAGTTAGAATTGGTACACTGCATTGATACTTAAGGCCAAAATAAAGGAAGCAAATGGCAATGATAATGCAAGAACCTTAGAAGTGTCTTTGAAATCTTTAGACACACATGGTTTCTGGTTTCTAAAACTGCATTCAGTTGGTCACACAATCACAAGTTGAAGGCTCTTGGCTCATTCTAGAAAATACTGCAAGTATTTTTTCAATGTCATGCAGTATAACTCACTCTGAATTGCTTCTAACTCACAGTGACCCAATAGTACAGAGTAGAACTGCTCTGTAGGCTTCCAAGACTGCAAAACTTTCTGGGAGCAGTCAGCTTCATTTTTCTCTCTTGGAGCTTCTAGTGGATTTGAACCTCCAACAGTCTGTTTAGCAGCCTAACACTTATCCCACTATGCCACCAGTGCTCTATGTAGCCTGTTATTGTTGTTGTTAGTGCTGTTGAGCCGTTTCCGACCTATAGCGACCCTGTATAGGGTTTCCAAGGAGCGGTTGTTGAGCTTGAACCACCGACGTTGTGTTTAAAGGGAAACTCAATGCATAGCAAAACAAGTGAGAGCCTCACAATGCTGAACATAGTGTAGCTTACTAAGCAATAAATGTGCTTTATGCATGTGAACTCCTGAATTTTGCTGTAACTTGAATAGCATGAAACACAGCTGAATCTGAAACCATGTCCTATTCCAATTTCTGAGAACATCATCTGCCTCTGTTTTCTGACTCACTGCCGAGACCCTACACTCACAATGGCCTTGCTCAAGAAGAAAGTGTCAGGCAGGGCCAGGACTCAACAGTTCTCAACACATTGAAGGAACTGGGACTTCAAAAGTGGAGAACAAAGGCTGTTGACTGATGCACAACGTTTTTAAGAGGCGTTTTGGTTTCTAAAATCATAAAAATATAGAGTACGACTCACCCGAAGTGACTGACGAAGTTCATGGAAATACAAAGAAGAAGGAGGTTTTTGATCATGATAAACCTAGAGAACATTCCATTGTCCATTCCCAATGAGAATAATAGTTGAAGCAGATGAATTTGAAAGAATAACTGTTCCTTTCTCCAACTGGATCTTGAAGCTAAAAGGTACACAAAAGGGAATTGTATATGAGCAGGCCTCCTGGTGTGGCACTGTAGGCTAAGCATTGGACAGCTAACTGCAAGGTCAGCAGTTCCAATCCACAAGCACCTCCTTGGAAAATCTATACAGAGTCACTATGAGTCCAAACCAACTGAATGGTACTTAACACATGAGTGTTTTAGTGTCACCGTTCGTGGAATCAAATCATACCACGAACATTCCACAATTGACAAAGAACGGAAATCTGGCTGTCGTGCCTTAGCCACAACTGCAAGCCAGGAATTGGTGCTCATTGAGCAGGAAGTTGGAATAAATACTTGGTTTTACTTTTAAGCATGTTATCAAATCCCTACGAGAGAGAAAGAGAGAGAGAGAGAGAGAGAGAAGTGATTCTAGCAATTGCAGTGTGTATCTACAAACTATTAGATACAAATTATTAAATCCATAAGTGGAGTAATTTTACCTTTCTGAAATATTTGCCAGGAATTCAAGCCAGCCAGAGACTCCTAGTTCTGCAAGGTGCTGAAAGCATGTGAAAAGAAGAGAGAAATGGTACAGTTAAGAAACAAGTCTTGCTACCGAATCACAGTAATTTAAAACTATCGTCACTCGCTCAGCTATCTGGCACGATGACTAAATAACGTAATAGTCACTGCATTTTACTGAGTGGCTGAAGTCTCTCTTTTGTGCAAATGATGTACAGGCTCTGGGACTAATCTTAACAAATGCACCTATTTCCCAGGATGCACTTAACGCAGGAAACATGGGCATAAATAACATGTTCAAATAAGCATTTTCCCGAGACACCCCAAACAAACTCGGAATTGGGAAAAGTACAACAGGTACTTCCCCCTCCTAAATAAGGCCCTCTGGTACTCAAAGGGGCAGGCAGCAAGCGGTGGCCGCCTGGGCTCATTCTGTGGCCAGTCGCCTGCGTCCAGATAGAGCACGAAGCTCGTGATACGGAAAACAGCGGCGGTGTCTCCCGCCACTGGTGGATCCCACGCCGGGGAATGCCAAGGCGAGCCCGCGGGGCTCCTGGACCTGCGCACGGTGCGGGTGGGCGCGGTGCGGGGCACTGCGGTGCTGCAGCCTCTGCTTATTCGCTGCCCCAGGCTCCGAGCAAGACCAGCTTCTTGCCGGGTCTGCTGCGGCGAGTGGAGAGCTCTGCTTCCGCCCAGTCCACCGCCAGGACCCGGCCCCGGTCCGAGTGTAGCGTCTACCCCGCGGCGCCTTTCTCCACCACCGACCGCCCAAGAGGCAGGAGACTGGAGCAGGCAGCCTAGCAAACACCCGTGACCCGTACGCGGCGCTCTCGCCCGTCCAGCTCCTTGCAGCGGCGGTGGTTCCCAGCCTAGTCCCAAGCCTTCCGAGCTGTCAGCCGGTGGTGGTGGTCATGCGCCCTGGGGCCCCAGCGCAGATCTGTTTCGCCCTGGCAGTCCCAGAGCAAAGTTTACGCTCTGGCCGACGCGGAGCCGCGTCCTGGGTCTCCACCTCCAATCTTGGCGGTGCAGTCCGCCGCGCCATCCGCAGCTCAGACACACACCCAGGCGAGAGCGGGAGGCCGAAGTCGGTGAGCGCTCTCCCTCCCTCTCTCCTTCCCCAGCTCCAGCTCCCTGGTCCGGCCTCTTGTAGTGTACCTGGGGTTTCATCTGCGCGCTGACCCCCAGAGGCGAGAGGTCAGAGAGGGTGCATCCTTCTTTCTCCTGGTCTTGCTCTTCTTCCTACTCTTCCTCTTCCTCCCGCCTGCCTGGCAGGCTCTGAGGGCTGGTGCAGCGTCACCAGCCCATGCTGTCAGCACTAACTTCCCCAGGCTGCGGGCGGAGCGCAAGCAGCGCCCGGCGCTCCCGCTGCGGCCCTGCTGCTCTCCGCTGTACGGTGCCGGCGGCCGCGCTGCCTCCCCACCACAGAAAGACCTGCGCGCCCGCGCCCGCTCGCGCGCTCTCTCACGCGCGCGCTCTCACCTCTCCCCAGCGCCACATGTCGTCTTCTGGACTGGAAGACCGCTCCTTTGCAGATGTGCTTTGACAGAGGCCGCCAGGCCCTCACTGAATGTGCCCTGGTTATACTCAGTGGCAGGGGTGGGCTCAGGGCCGGCGGGTAGGCCTGGTTTGGGTCAGTCCTTATTTCTGTTAAAGTTTCTTAAGGGCCTTTAGCCACATAATCAGTATTTTTTGTAATAACCACGTTTTTCCCTTTTTGGACCAGTAACATCGCCAGAGATGGAGAGGAAGTTTCAGCAGGCAGAAGCCTGGATGATGGGGGGCATTTTTCTGGGAGCTCTCTCTTCTTCAAGGGCTGGCTGAAGTGCCTTCCTCCCCAACCTCACCCTTTCCTTCCTTCTTCTTGGCTGGCCTCTCTTACTCTCTGAAAGGAACGAGCTTGTGAACATCTGTTTTTATTTGGTATTAATTGCTAGGGAGGGGGAAGGAGAGAGACACCCTTATATAATTATAGTATCAGCTGGGCATTTTCTGAAGCTTATTTCTTTATGAGAGACCACCTTGTCCATAGCAAGGAGACAGGGACTCTGCAGACATGAGCCTGACTAGTGTGAGGAAAGAGCCCTTTGGACCTGGCCAAAGTACACTGCTTCTACTTGTCCAACCACACAATTAAAAAATAAAAATAAGAACAACCTCACTGCCATCGAGTCCACAGTGACTCATAACGACCCCATAGGACAAAGTAGAACATCCAGTTTCCATGGCTGTAAGTCTTAGTATTGTGATTTTCCTTTGATCATGCCTGTCTCTAGTCTCAGTGGTACATTTCCTTTGGGGTGAGCTTGGCACTAATGGCAACTGCGTGATCCCCTCGCCACAGATTAAAGTGAATGTTGGAAGACAGTGTGGACTCCTGTAAATAGCATAAACAAGACAGTTGCAAAGAAAGCACATTCCTTAATTTCAAGATAATATTTTATTTTATCAGAAGGTGGATGGATGATATTTGACACAGTGAAAGGGTTCATGATTTAAGGTCAAAGACTTGGGGTTTTGGGCATTAATCAACACGTTTGTGATATTGCACTATTTATAGTGACTTTTAAGAGAATAATAGTGAAAAATAAATAAATATCTAAGTCCACTTCAGAAAAGGATCTTTAATCTACTAGTGAGTGGGCTAATTGTGTCAGCTTTTCAATTTTGTCAGATAACTTGTATCCCAAGTCCAAACAACCTGCTATTTGCTTTTTCACCTTTCAAAAATTCTGTAACACTCCAATGGGAAATTACAAGTATATTCCAATAACAGAACATACTGATATGTTCATGCTGAAAAACCTATATAGAAAGTGCTATTCCAGATATATATTTAGTAACAGTATGCAAGCAACTTCTAATTCTAGTAGTCTTGCATAAAATGGAAAATAGAAAAGATGATCATATGAAAGGTTTTTCCAATTATAAAATGGATAATGTGATTTCAAAGGAGAAGAACACACTCCACATTTCTCAAGCTGAAAGAACTGAAGAAAAAAAATTTAAGCCTTGAGTTACATTATTGAAGGACCCTATGGGTAAAATACAGAGTCCTAGTGTGGCTCTGTGGAAAATCAGTTTGAACCTCAAGGCTGGCGCTTCAAGCTCACCAGCCGTTCCTTGGAAACCCAATACAGGGTCGCTATGGGTCAGAACCAATTTGACGTCATTTTACAACAAAAACAAAATAGATAAAATATAGAATGACACTGGAAACATCAAAAAAAAAAAAAAAAGGTAGACGGACTGTGCATAGTTAGGACATCAAAAAGAATTAGTCAACGTTCAATCATTTCAAGAGGTACCATATGATCAAGAAGTGATGGTGTTGCAAGAAGAAGTCCAAGCTGCACTGAAGTGAAAGAAAAGGCTCCAGGAATTGATGGAATACAAGTTAAAATATTTCAAAAAAACTGATGAAGGAACGGAGACACTCATTCATCTATGTCAAGAAATTTGGAAGACAGTTACCTGGCCACCTGATTGGAAGAGATCCATATTTGTGCCCATTCCAAAGAAAGGTGTTCCACTGAAATATGTAAATCATTGAACAATATCATTAATATCACATGCAAGTAAAATTTTGCAGGAGATAATTCAAAAACAGTTGCAGTAATAAATTGACGTGGCATTGCCAGAAATTCAAGCTGAATTTGAAAGAGGACATAGAACAAGGCATATCACTGCTAATATCAGATGGATCTTAGTTCAAAGCAGACAGTACCAGAAAAATATCTCTTGTCCTATATGGTTATGCAAAGACATTTGATGATGTGAATCATAACAAACTATAATAACTTTGGGAAGAATGGGTATTCCAGATAACTTAATTGTACTCATGAAGAACCTATGCATAGACCAAGAGGCAGTTGTTTGAACAGAACAAAGGAACACACACTGACTGAATGGTTTAAAAACAAGAAAGATGGGCAACAGGATTGTATCCTTACACTATACTTATTCAATCTGCGTGTTTGAACAATCTGGGAAATTGAATTGTGTGAAGAACATGGCATTAGGATTGGAGGAAGAATCATTAACAACCAGTATTATGCCTTCAGTATGGGTTGTACCTCAATGTAAAGAAAACAAAAATCCTCACCAGTGGACCAATAAGCAACATCCAAGTAAATGGAGAAAAGACTTCAATTTGCTTGGATCAACTATCAACATTCATGGAAGCAGCAGTCAAGAAATCAAACAATGCATTTGTCTGCTGCACAAAATATCTTTAAAGAGTTCAAGAGCAAAGATTTCAGTTTGAGGACTAAGGTGTGCCTGATGCAAGCCATGGTATTTTCAATAACTTCATATGCATACGAATGTTGGACAATGAATAAAACAGAGCATGGAGGAATTTATGCATTTGAGTTATGGTGCTGGAGGAGAATATTAAAAGTACCATAGACTGCCAAAAGAACAAATCAATCTGTGTTGGAAGATGTACAGCCAGAATGCTCCTTGGAAGTCAGGGTGGTTAGACTTTGTCTGTCATACTTAGGACATA